CGGCGGCACGGCGTTTGGGTCCACGGCTTGCTGCCGCTGCCGCCGCCGCAGGGGTGCTGCCTGCGGCGGCGGCGGTAGCGCACGTGGCAACCCCCCGCGTTTCCTTGCCTCCCATCCACCGGACCCCGTCCTGCGCTTCACTTTGTTTAGGGAGGGGCTGCTCACTGCTCATTGCTCATTGCTCATCGCACACTGCTCAACGCTCATTGCCCTATATCCCACCCAGCCGCAGGACTCCACTGCCGCCCGCGCCCCGCCCCATCTGGCCGCTTGCGCGCCCCATCCCCCCTCGATGGGGCCCGCCCACACCGGGGCCTCCCCCCTCCCGCCCACTGCTTTCTCAACGGCCCCGAGCCGGGGCTGCCCTCATTGCATACATAGTGCGCCTTTCCCTGCTTTTCTAGTGACCTAGCGTTCCGCACTGCCGTTTGGCCAGCCCATGCTCCCGTACCGTTGCGTTTCTCCCCAATGCGCCATGCCACTTTGCCAGTCATACACACGTTTCGATGCGTGCCCTGTCAGCTGCTTGCGTTGCATGTCGCCTTGCTCCACCCCTGTTTTATTGCTTTCTCTGCTTTCGCCCGGTTCCCGTCCCGTTTCGGCGGGGAGTCTATGTTGCAAGCTAGTTCTTGCTTTACCAGACTTTAAGCCCACACAAGCAAGCACCAGCCGGTGCGCCCTCTGGAGGTCCCTGCATGTGCGCGAGCGCCGCAGGGGACACAGGCTGGTCTGTCTTGGCAGATGACTCAAACTTGAAAGAGCATGCCCCAGGCATTGCCACAGCTGCAGGTGCAAGGAAACCCAGCCATCTGCTGCTGCTCTTGCACTGACCTGCACGCCGCGTCAATCCACTCGCCAAGCTTCATATGTCCCGCCCCTGCCAACCTGATGTTATATTTCCACTTGCCCGGCTGGACGGCTGGATTATACATAGCCTATTATAGCCTATTATAGCCTATTATAGCCAACAGTAGCCCACCCGTCCGCTCACAGAGAGCCATCGCGCCGGCCTCGCGCCGATCACCCCCACACCCCCACCCTCCACACTCACCCACCCACCCATCAGCATGTCAAGCAGCGAGGGAGCCAGCCTTGGGCAGCGCAGCCAGCAGCCGATCAGCAACCCGGCCTCCCGGGCATCCCTGCGGCCCGATTTCCCCCATATCGTGGTCAAGGGGCTCGCTCTGGAGGCCGGTGGGGGCCTGGGGGCCGCAGTCGCAGCCTTCGTTTTGTTTTGCCGGGCCAGCCTTCACCTGCCAGTGCCTGACTGTGTGCCTGTGACCTGCGTTGAGATTCGGGTGCGTGGGGACGGGCGCAGCGAATGCCACCTGCGACTGACTCCTGCCCTGTGCGGCGCCCTGATGGGTGCCCGCCGCCGCCTTTCGTGGGCAGCACCAGAGGTCAGCATTGACCTCTGGCGCTCACCTGGGGAGCTACAATACCTCCATGAGCTGCGCCAGCAGCGCGCGGAGGAGCCCCCAGCGCGCCAGGTGGGGCGGGCTGCGACCTCTCGCTGGTGGCGAGCGGCTCCCCTCCCGCCGCCCTCAGCTGAAGTCGTTGCCGCCCCTGTTGCTGCTGCCCCTGCCCAGCCCACGCCTGCGCCGCCTACACTGCCTGCCGCCGCCGCCGCCGCTGCCGCCGCCGCCGCTGCCGCCGCCGCCGCTGCTGCCGCCGCCATGCCCATCGCCCGGCCGCACGCACGCCAGCCCGCCAGCCCGCCGCCAGCCCAGCCAGCCAGCCAGCCAG